AGTATGGGCTACCTTAACATAATCAGTCTAAAATGCTAGAAAATATTCAATTAGAAGCTGCTAGGATAGTTACTGGGGGAAATAAACTTACTAACATTGATAATTTATACAAAGAAACTGGTTGGGTAAGCCTTTCTTTTCGAAGGAAAAATAACAAAATAATCCAGTTCCACAAAATAGTGCACGGTGCAGCCCCTTCCTACTTAACCGATTTACTTCCTGTACGTCATTCTGACATACACCGCCACAATACTAGAAATGCAGATAACGTTTTACCACCAAATTGTAGAACTAACCTTTATATGAATTCTTTTCTTCCTTCTGCTGTTAACCTTTGGAATTCTCTCCCTTCCGATGTTAAAAACAATCCTTCTATTCGTAACCTCAAAAAACACCTAAACAGCAAAATTATTGATGTTCCCGAGTATTACAACTACGGTAGTAGATTAAGTCAAATTCATCATTCCCGATTAAGAATGCAGTGTACCTCTCTTAAGGCTCACTTACATAAAAGGAACTTAGTTAATAGTCCGGTATGCAATTGTAAAGAAGCAAACGAAACAACTGAACATTTTCTGTTATCATGTCCTAATTTTGTTAATCTACGTGTCCGTCATCTTGGAAATCCACCTGACATTGAACCACTACAGACTCTTCTCTTTGGTGACCCCTCACTAACTGTTGTTGAAAATAAAGCAATCTTTCAAAGGGTCCAGTCATTTATCCTTCAAACTAAGCGTTTTTAAAATCGTTAACAGAGAGTCTGTGCATATGCTTGTTTATATTCGATATGCTTTTGTAATTATCCAATGTCTTCAATTACTATAGATATTAACACTATACGCAAACGCGTACCAAGGTCACTGTTTAATCATGCCGCCAACAGTCCTTTTGCTCTTTTCTAATCTCATTTCTCTCTGTTCCCTTCATTTTCAAAGCCAGACTAGATCTTGCTGCCAGCTGGTTGATTTTTTAGGAAACAGTTTACATAAGTTTTTACAAAACTTTTTACTGGATCCTTTTGCATATTAAGCTTTGTACCATGATTGTATTTTGCAAATAAAATAAAGTTTAAACTATTTCTAATAATGATTTTTTATCCTGCAACTGGCACTACCGTTGTCGTAATACGCCTGTCACATATATTTTTGCTATATTCGGCAGTGACGGAAAACAGCTGTTTCTTAACACGTGCGGTAATTCGACAGAATTACTCTCTGAATTTACTTGAATATTACGTTTAGAAATATAAGTTGTTGAAATAGGTAATTTTACACGTTGAAATGAACATGTTGATTTATGAAGTTTGGAACTATGTTTCCGCGCGTAGCAATTATTTTGGCGTCCGTCATCAGGCAAAACTCAGCTCAATGTCAATGTCAGGTAAACACAGTTTGAACACCAAATCTGTTTGTTTCAATAATCTGATTTTTAATCATTGCTGAACTAGAGTACGTGGTCAGTGTCCTAAAATATAAACGACGATGAAAATGAAAAAATAACAACATAGTACAAACAAACGTGTTTTATTTCATCTTGGAATTATTACAAGTATATTCTTAGATCTGGTTATGCTTTTGTGATAATGATTTATTGAATAAAGAAGTGGTTGAATGTCATTTTCTCTGATTATTTTCAACCACCTAATAAATTTATACAAAGGGAGATAATTCAAATATTCATGTTTTCATTGCAGTCTTGCAAATATATCTTTTTACATAAAGTGTAATGAGAAAAAATGTTATCAATATTCCGATTTTTCAATAATATTTTCGCCACAATCCACAATAGTATTGCACGTTTCTATAATCACATTCATAAATAACATAAGATGACAACATAAAATTGATTTTTTTTTCTTATTATCTTAACATTTTGTAATGACGTCATTACGTAAATGACGAAATCAATGATAAACTGTACACTTTGATATTTTGTCGACTGCCCATTTTTGGCAGATTGATATCATATTTCGACTGAATTTAAGTCCTAAAAGATCTATTTATCTCGAGATTCCAATACCATACCCAAAATTTGTTCAAAACTCAATACAATTTTGTGAACAGATAAACAAAATCATAATGGTATGGTAACAAACTGGTTAAAAATTTAGACTATACAGTGCATATCGGATTTCGTCATAACAAAATTGCATCATGATATAAAAACATCATAATTGGAAAAATGACGTGAGCAATGACGTCAATGTGTGATAGATGACGTCATGGTAAAAATAATGTCTTTAAAATGATTTTTTATTTCCAACAGTTTTAAGACAACGTCAAAACATCATATATAATGAAATGTTTCCACAAAATGGAAAAATAAGTATCTATACGACAATACTGGAAGACTTACGATCATTTCTGGTTGTACGGACGATTCCGTTGAGTATTTTGTTTCAATTTTATAAAAAAAACATACAAAAATTACTATATATACAAATTATTTACAAATTGACGATATCGTAAACACTTCTTTAACCATGTGTAACTTTCCACTTTGGTCTAACTATATTTCTGGTAGTTCTCCTTTTTTATAATTATCTCAAATTCAGGCTCAGACTTGGTTTGAATAACAAAAATGTCTGAAATTTGATGAAGCAAAACAAAATCTCGAAAACAGACCAAAGTCTTAGGTCAAATAGATTCGGTGTTCGAAATCGTCCATTGTTTAGACAATTTTAAATTTTGGCATAAGATTTCTTCACAACAAAGCTTCGTGGATTTAGAGAGGAACACCGTTAAGTACAAGGGGAGATAATTCTGACTAGACAATAAAGGCACCGAGTTGGGCAGTTTGTGTCGTTATCTTCACAAATATACAACAATAATACAAACTAATTTCAGACAAGGAAGATAAAAAATATGTTTCCTTGTTCCTGACAAACAAATTCAATACTGTCGACGACTTAATTTAAACAAATGTTTAATTATTTCCTTAAAAAGAAAATTCTATTGTGTTTCTATGTCTAACAACGAAGTGAAACTCTATGTAATTTCCTATGTTTCTATTTACAATTTCAACTCAAGTTTACTGTGAAGTTTACTGTATAATCACGATAAAAAGATATTTCAAACATTGAAAAAATCTGACAAGATTTCAATTATTGTCAATTTAAAGATGGCATTCATATCGACAATAAACGTAATCCGACAAACTTCAGTTATTTCTATATTTAAAAATTATTCTAAAAATATTTACCTATTCGGCGAACGTCCGAAAATAATGATCATGTAAACGATTGATATTAAGGTAATTTGTGTGTTCACAGAGGCGAAGTGCAAAGTGTTTACATAACACAATTCAGCTCCTGAACATACATTCAAAATTAACACTAAATTTGCTGAAGGTCATGATACAAAATGTTAATATTCATTAATAACATTACATATTATATAAGATAAATTATGAAAACTATTTTATATACAAAGAAACTAAGATAAGTTAACATTATCTTAAAATCTAACAACACTATTGCACTAAAGTTTCCTGACATCGCATACATGGACTGATCAGACAAAACAAATTCTATTTCCACAATACACAATATTCTATAAGGTACCTGGATCTTATACTCGAGGATCCTTAATTTAAAAGTTTGAAGATAAAATTCTCGCGGTTCATTACAAAAACTTTACCAAAATCTCTCTAAATTCTTGTTTAAAATTATTCACATTTTTTCGCCATTTTTATTTAATGCTCGCAAATAGTTATAAATAGAAGACTTTCAAAATAAAAACATTCACACTATTCAAATAGTAATAATGATAATATCCGGGTATTTTGACCAAATTTTAAACTGTAGCTAATATGTTTTCATGTTTGTTCTATATTTAGAACACATGATGTAGGTAATTTTGGTGAACTGGATTATATCCTACCCTTATCTGTTCTATTGTCCGGACGCGACAAACATTTTCTATTGAAACACAAGCATTGAAAATCCAGTGACATGATAAAGATAAAACAATTATTTATAAACAATATCCAACATAGGGAAATTAGAGGAAGCCTTTAGAGTATAAAACATATATTTAGATAAGGCACGTACATGGAAAAGGCATCAATTTAATATACTGTTAAATCATTAATTTTCGTGGGAATTTATTTGCGCTTAATTCGTGGGTACACTTAATCTTCGAGTTGATTTGATTCAAAAGTAATGAACAGATAAAAGTTGACCTAGTCGACAACACGTGGATGTTGTGATCAATATCTATCAATTGATCAAAGCGTTAAATTTTTTTTATAAAACGTTGAAATTCGATCCCCACAAAAATATACGATTTTACAGTTTCTGTGTAAGATGTTGATATTGGTATGTATGCGTAAGAATAAGCTGCGGTTTTTCGAGTTTTAATAAATATTTCATTGTAACCATTATTTGTGTTATATATACAACACGAAAAGAGACATTGCATTCCACCTCCAGTGTGTATATCTCTGACAATCATGATTTAAGTGTAACATCTAATACAAGGACATTTGCAGTGAAACTGACGTTTGTCAAATACAAATTATACCGGCACTACGCCTTTTCTTACATAGTCTGTGTATGAACAATTACACAAATGAACAATTATGAGTTTTTCAACATGTACAAAATGAACTAAAAGCATGTATTTGGCACTATTAGCAATTCTGTGACGTCATGTCGTCAGCACCACGTGATTGTCCGTCTATCATGGTTAATAGCACTATACTATATTTGTATCCAGCGCTAACACCATCAAAAATCAAAGTTTGTTCCTCAAAGTTAAAACAAATCCAGTCTTAATAAACCCCGTACGTAACCGGAAGTGTCGTAAAAATGGGTGCGAGGACCTTGTACGTCTTTGGAAATACAACCGGAAGTGCATCATACAGACAGCACTGCACTTTTTATAGTATGTTGAAAACCGGAAGCTCGGTATAAATGGGAGCGATGCCCATTAATGGATCAATCCATCTAGAATACCCTCGGAGGTTCTTCTTCTTCTGAACCCGAAGCTCTTTCTTTAGAAGTAATCATATTCTAACCTGAAACGAGAAAAAAAAATCTTCATTTATAATAAAAAAAATGTTAACGATATAGAAGAATGAACTCATTGTGGTTTGCGTGTATGAAAGATTTCAATATCGATAACAATACCATTTTCTAAACTTGGACATTTTTAAAATTTTATACTGAATTCCACTCGCTACATTTATTTCACTTTCAAGAAAGTCGTGTAATCTATTTGGATCGTTTTTCCATAATACAATATATGTAATTTTACATATAATTATTCAAGTAAGAGTTTACATATCAAAGTTAACATGAAATTGAAAAAGATGTTGATACGAACAATAATCACGTGACACAAAACAACAGTCATGCTTTTAATCCATATCATCAATATCCAAAATATTTCATATTAAATGTTAATCACGTGACCACTAATGTTTCGTTTCGTACTAATGACAAATGACCGATACTTGCGACAATAGATAATTTGAATTAGACTGTAGTAGTATCGTAATTATTAAGATCGCACATCATGTTTGATCCTAATTTTAATCATTTATCCGCAGAATCCCTTGTTTTTGTGAACTCCCGTTATACACTTCAACAACAATATCGGGAGCAATTTTTAATTTATTAAAATGTAAAGTGAAGTTTATCAAAAAGTTTAATTTTTTTTTATTTTAGACAATTCAATCCTAAACATGTTCGTGGGTCATAGGTACAACAACAAGCATGTGAAGCAGAGGGAAACTTTGTCTGTCTCAAACAAAGAAAGGTTCATGTGACGCATGCTCAATCATGTGATAGTAAAAGCAGGTGTCAGAGAAAGACGGATAAGCTCCGAAGCGGTCCGAATGGAAATCAATAAAAAAGAGCGCACACATAGGGAGGTAAAGATGTAATACAAAAGAAACAATGCGACCACAACATGCTGTCATACACAAATACCTCACGAGAGGAGCCCGACGGTCAGTGACAGAGTTATTGGCCTTGGGTGCAGGCCGAGAACGATCACGGCGTCGCTGTTGTCTGTTTCTATGGCCCGGATAATCGGGTGGGGGAGTGTAGGGTGGGGGTCCTTCCTCGTCTAACAAACTTGGTGGGATGTCGCACCAAACTCGGGGACCATTATTCTCCGTTGTGAAGGAGTATAAACCTGCTTCCGCGTCATAAACGAATTCTCTACTCATGCGTTGCGCATGCGCTAAAACAGGGACCTCGTTCCCAAACAATTCCGGATATAGTGTGTGAATATCATCTGTGTTGGGAAGTGCAACATTTTCCTCTGGTATATGATAGGTGATATCGTTAGAGGTGGGACGAGAAACCTGGTGTCTCGCATCTCGCACGTAATGTGTACGAGATCTTGTCATATCGCGCGACCGTCTTCCTTGAATACGTGGTTCTGCTTCTGTAACTATAGCAACGTCAGGACGACTTATCTCAGGACTTCGCCAAGGGTCCCTTACATCCCATGTTCTTTGTTGGTTTCTCTCAGAGTCTCTTTCATTTTTATGCACGACATTGATGACGGATTTATGACGGCTATTAGAAGTATTTATATTGTTTTGTCGATCACCATGACTACCTACATTGTTTGAGACAGACGATGAAACTACTGGTCTACTTAATGCTGTGGTACAAGTTGTAACAATAGATGACGACATATTCGTACTTTCATTACTAACCGAATATAGATATCTGGAGTTTTCACCGGAAGTAGGGTTTGCTGTTGTGTACGTAACGCCACCTGGTGGGTAGGACGGAGTTGTTATGGCAACACTATACGGCGGTGGTTCTAATGTCCTCGACAAGGCGTCGTTTGAGGAGGCTGTGTTGTTTTCTCTACTTCCGGTTCCAGTATCTCGTTCACATTCGTTAGCACATTCACCTTGGTTGCCTCTTATTACTGGTATCCACGTCCAAATCTCGTCATAATTAGTGAACGCGGGATTCACGCCTCCTCCACGTGACTCATTCGGATCCCGTCCGATTCGAAAAACATTAGGGCTGCAACAAAATAACAATATTCAATATATATGAAAACAAAACTAATTTATTATCAAGAGCCGATAACTCTTCGCGTGAAATGACGATGATCTATGACGATTGGAACGTCTAGGTCTGTTTGCGATAATAATTTCTTTATCCTATCTCAGGATGCGAATGGAGTAAGGCTAACTTCTAAAGGGAAACAACTCGAAAATACATAACTTCCCTGTCGATAAGACGTGATGGCACGTAAATCGTGCCCATTTTACATGTGTATTTAAGTAAATATATACTTTTTAAGTAGATTCCGAAGGTAACGGTAAACGATCAAAATTTCTGACTGCCACAGGTATGAAAGATGACTTAAGCAAGGGAAATAATTCTTTATACATTACGTGCCGTCGGCATTGAAGTCGGTGAAGGAATGCAATCGAAAAGAGAAAACACATTTTTCGTATATACTTCAACGTTTGCCGTGGAACAAAACCAACGAAGAGGCGATAACTTTTATTCTAAGGCAGCTATAATACAATGAACAACACTAAAAATAGGAACGATAACTCTTATAGCATGACAGATAACTCCATACGTACCTTTCACGTCGCCCTTGGCCGAAAGTTTTCCGGTTAGTTTTAAGTATGCAGACTAGTAACATCATAAGCACGAGTAAGAGAACGCCCCCTGACGCCCAGAGAATGATGATCACCGTCTCAATCTTCATCTCCTTCTTGTTGACTATGATATCAGTAGAGTTCAAGGGCGACAAGGTCGAGACAGGAATATCTGTAAACACGAAAAAACTTTGTCATTTGATATTTTGTCATATTTTATATTAGCGAAAAAATGGCGGTTTCCCGTGTCTAAAATGTAATTTTTCCAAAATTATGGAAAATAGGAAGGAATACATCCGTATTTACTAGCAAAGACAGTTATAACATTAATTTAGAGTAAAACTTGTTAGCTTAGCAGAATATTTTACTCTCTTTGTGTTATGTAGTGGAATCCCTATCCGAGGAGAAGAGTATAACGTTGGGAAATGGGGGTTTCCTGAGTGTTTGGACCTTTTACCAGATATTTAAAGGAGGGTGATGGATTATTTTTCTCATACCCTGCTTGTTTTGTTATATTTGTTCTTCTTGTCCCAATATTTTGCTCTAAATAAATTATAATTTTAGTAATGATGTCGGTATTTCCCGCTTTTTATCCACGTACGTGTCACTGTTCTATGCGTTCTTCTAACCCTTTTAAATATAACTTCTATTTGTGAGCTGGTTTTGCCCTTTTATGATAAACTTCACTAGAAACGAATATCGAAAGCTCGTGCAATGCTAAGAGGATCAGCAAACCAACATTAGCTTATAAATTAAGATTACATCTATTCTCTCTCAAAATCCAAGCGTCTAGTCTGCCAGATGATAAATTCAGGTTCAGTGTCGACATGCCAAGGCCATAAACAATTATTTGTTCCGCGAAACAACAAAGACGTGAAAATCAGAATTCATCTTAAAAAGCGCCAACGTATTCCATCAGTAAAATAAATAAACATTGTAATTTAGCCGGTACGATGTGAGGTTAGCCTCTGTTTGTTGTCATGGTGATCGTTCTATTGTCAGATACGGTATTGTTGTTTTCTGTGTAGAAATTAGAACCGTGACAATTTGAATTTTTTATGGAGAACCCGATTAAATAAACGTAATATGATTATCGCCATCTAATTCGTTAGTTTTATAACAAAAACCTTTTGATTTTTTTATCTCTAGTAAATGTCTATTCATCCAAGTAATTTTTGTATTCATCTATTTGTCACGTGACAACAAAACCCATAACCTGCGCTTCCATTGAGGGCGGTTATTGTCCCCGTAACCAATGGTTTTTTTATGTTTTAGTTGTATTTGAGAGTATATGCAGCAAAGATTAAAATAAAATCATAAAACCGATTAAAAGTAAAGAAAAAGAACTTACTATTTAAAATTTCTCAAATTTACTATTGATGAACTGCTTTGATAAGAGCATACATTTCATTATTAAGGAATACTGAAGTAGGATTTGGTCAATATGTTTCTCTGTTATTGTCACTGATTTCAAAACAGTGTCCTAAAATGACGAAACAGCTGTATCATTTTTAATTTGCTCCTACTTTATAACCTATCCGGAGAGGACGAGACAATTTTATGACGCTAATTCTAATCATTATTCGTTGTATCGAATATCTACTACAAAACTAAACTTTTGGGGTTGAATCTTAATGTCTTAAAATATTTTTGTACATTTATTTACGAAAATCTAAAATAGTCTATGATTATCCGGTTGATTTCGTCAAAAAACAAAAACGAAACTAGCATTACGTAAACAGTGGGGAGTCCTTCAAAACAAATACCTGTTCTGTCTGTGTACTGGTACACGCCTACAAGGGCTCGAATACTTGTTACCGTGGATACAGAAATGTCATGGCTTTTATTTAAAATGTTTTAACCGTTGAATGATTAGAACAATATTTCTGGGTAAAATATGACACGACTCTTTGATCAATTTTTTTGTATTTCTAATGATAGGCATTGTTCTCCTGATTACATAGCAATAAATCAGCTTTATTCTTATCGAGTTATGATCTGTATGCTTGGTCGATGTAAATGTCAATGTGTTGAGACAAATCATTCCCTCTAGGTAGAAAAGTGAATCCCAGATGGGTTGGATTCCCTGGGGGTTGGTAAAGACCCCAGGGATAAGACAAGTCAGCCATTAAGTCACTGTCAGTAAACCATAAAATGGTTTAAGATTTTATCAGTATGAATTGTTACATAATTTTTCGACGGAAAACAGTTCGGGCATTTCCGTCATTACGTTATGAGACGGAAAAGCCCGAAGTTTTCTGGCAGTACAGAATGCATTTTAACTGCTGCGTTGCGTTGTTTGCTGAAAAGCTGAAATGCCGTAATTGCTGATATAAAACCAGTTCAAATTAATAAAATGCGTTGTATTCCCGCAAAATGAAAAATATGAAAAACATGAACAAGATGAGATTTACGAAGAGCAGTTGTTATTGGCAAAATTCAATAAATAAATCTTTCAGATTCAAAAGAAATTTATCATACAAAAAGTTTGGATTTTAACTGGATCAGATGAGACGACAGTAACCATTCGGACTATCTCTATAGAAAATTCGAACCATCTCTATACAACATTCGGACCATCTCTATAGAACACTCGAACCATCTCTATACAACATTCGGACCATCTCTATAGAACATTCGGACCATCTCTAAAGAATCTTCGGTGGGAGCAGCCGTTCCTGCAACGTGACAGATGTCCCCTATGATAGGAGACTGGCCCCTAAATCCCAAGACACATTATATTGTACTGAACATCTGTACCAGGAAACGTATTCCCCTCATTAATCGTGACTAAAACCCCGTGTAAACGGTAGGAGACACCAACTGGGGCGCCTGAGAGGAATACAAAAAAATAATACGCTAGTTTCTAACGAATTTTGCACAAAAATACATTTTTTTCTATTCCAGATATTGTTTCCAATATAACCGATATCGGCACGAAAGAATGTGGTGAATTTTTTTTATTTCAATCATATTTTTTTTTAGAAGTATATATTGACCCCCAAAAAAACCTCCGCCATAAATATTTCTATCAATAAAAATAAAATTACATGCATCAATCGTACACAAAACGTCACCCATTTTACACACCACGCCAATTAGACAGAGCGTCGAATTTAATTACACTGACGAAATAATTAAATGGTCAAGTTAGTATCCGCGATATTATTATAATTAACCGAAGATTTATAAGGAAACAATATAACAACATGCCATACAGGATATCAGATTTCGCTTATGCCCTTCTATTTCGTTTTGCATGTCGCTTAGACCACTATAAATTCGACTGTAACTCTCACTTGTTCTGGCTTCAACAGCGATATGGGAATGAGATATAAAAAATAAAATAAAAAACGCATGTATCATTATTTACAGACTGGCATTTTATCATTACAGAAAGGAGAAAACAGGATTTGTATTTATAAATAACAGAAAAGACATATTTTAAAGCTTTAAAATAGATTATAAATACAGTAAAAAAGTCAAGTATATCAGAAACAAGACTGGGAACCGTGACGTCACATCTGTTTCCAGCCCGTATAGATGTCTCGTCATGATAAACAAATGCTACGAGCACCTGTTTCAGTAATTGAAGCGGAAGTGACGATTTACAACTATGTCGCACGTGATGTAGCCTCGGGTTGAAAGATAAAACAATAACACATGATACCCGCATGATGAAAACATGATAAAAGCTAAATAGCATTAAGCCATCATGAACGGTAGGCATGGATACACAAGATAACTAACAGTTATCCGACTCAATTTAGTCAAAAAAGAAAAAAAAAACCGATAAGGATTTGTTAAAATGAATTTAGGTTCGTTTTTCGTAGATTTTGCTTTTAAAAAAACTGTTAAATGGTACAAAAAAGCACATTTTGGCCAAATAACATCTTTTCAATACAACGCTGCCAATGGCTGTACGAATTGTGTATAATGGGGGTTGTTACAATCACTCTACCATCAATAAACGTGTATTATCCCTTCAACAATTACCGTTTACACGACAATAGGGAACACTCATTAATTCATTGATTTATCCCGCGCGCGCCTTCTCGTGACCGGTGACACTTAAGGCCCAGAGGAACCCGGTGAACAATGAACGGGGGACAAAGCAGAGACACTGCAGTTCAAAGAGCCACATCCTTAATTGTCTGACAATCTAGAAAATTGAACAACCTCATTTGCATCTAAATTCTGTAGATTCTGCGTCTAATATGTCGTTTAGGACAAAGCTAGATTTCCACAAAGCATCTTTGACGGGTGAGAAATATGTGAATCCAACATTTGGTAGGTTTAGTTATAGGGTGCTCTGCACAAGGTTATCAAATGCTTGACTGTAATTTGAATTTCGAGATTAACTGAATATGACCTTTGTTTACGGTGGTGTTGTCATCTCTCATGTTGAGCCAAATACAATTCAAAATAGACCAAACCAAATAATTCTGTTTACACACCACTAGCGTATCGATACCGACTTACTACAAGAAATTCTTGAAACAGTTACAAAACCAGTATACGTAGTAATTATCTGAAAAAAAAAAACAAAAACTGACAAACAAACAAACAAAGCTATTCTTCAAAGATGTCATTGCGCGAACGATACGGAAAACGATACACATTGTATACCATTTTGTCCTGTTTTTAATAATTAAATATTAATTTGATGATGGTGAGAAAGTTCGTCTTATTCCACAGGTGTCAGTAATGTCACGTGAATACAGGTATAATGAAAAGTTTACTTCTATAAAGTATGTAATGGTACGTTTGACCACATAAAAAATACTATAAATTCCCGTAATCCAACTTTCATAATACCGCTAGCTTGTGAATGAAAAATGATGTAACAGGTTAGAATATCTTTCAAACCAAACGATTAGACAACATTTCGCTTGTAAATGTTCTATGTACGCACGTGACCCAGTGACGGCCTACAAACCGGTACCGTTAGGAAGTCGAGTAATTGCTTGTAAATGCTAATTAGATACAGGTAATGCCCAGGTATGCTGTTCAGGCTGATGTCGATTTCCGCTCGCGCCGTGTGTTCATTTCAGCATCGTAAAAGGATTTAATCGATCAGAGTGTAACCTGATCATTTTCAATCGTAATCTTGTTTGATACACAACTGTGAGCGTTTCATGGGATCAAAGGCGTAAATGATTCGTGTTAGATGAAATAAAAATCTAATTACCATCCTGCCAGGTGTTTACAACAGGTAAATCCCCAGGTGAAAGTTTGATCTTTCTCAGCCAGTATCGGAATTGATTTGTTTGGGTTGATTTTCTCTCTATGGGGTCGAGAGGCGAGAACGAATGGATGCACGTGCGCACAGATAAATTCATACCTCAATGCAATAAAGTATTACTTGGGAGCCATATAACGGGAAAACAATCCCCCGAACGTGTCTGATGAAGATGATTGTTCGTGGATCATTAACCATTTATCAAGATAAGATCCCGATTCAAAGTCTGATAAATTGTTACTTGCTTATGTCACTTGACAACAGCAATGAAATTGGTGCTAATCACTTTTTTAAATTAGCTTTTCTCGTAAGACCTACTTAATTTTTGAGATATCCGGATTTATTTCAAAATCAATTTACTTTACGAACTCAAGCAATAAACGCAGCATCACACTAATTTTTGGTCATGCCATCTTCTGGATGGACACATCAGATATTAACTACAGAGAAATGACGTCTTCATTATTATGACGTCATAGCAATAGTTAGTCTTCATGGATAACCGACGTTTAACGATTGAAAGCATTTAATTAAATGATTAAGTAATTAGATAAATAATTAGTTATATATCAGAATTAAAACTGTTTTTAAAAAGTAAGTAAAGCTATATTTTTAAAAGTTGAAAATGTTTACGCCTTCCATACTTTTTGTCCCCAATTAGTGCATAAAAATCTAGCATACCCAGACATTCGGATGTAATTACAGATACACTAGCATTAGAGAAACAGATATGCTAATTCTACACAAGTCTAAAAGTTACTGTAAGTCGATTTGATAAAATATAATGGAATTCACAGTACACAAGTGTGCTTGAGGAAAACTGGAAAAAAACCCAAAAATTCTTAAAATAAACTGAACTAAAATTTACAGAATTCTTAATGCTGATATCGTAATTTAAAAAGTAACAATTATTTTAAAAATTGAAAAAAAAATGTTTTAAATGCTTTACCCCTTCTTCATGACCAAAGACATGTCAGATAATGTAGCTGTGGTTTTAGATATCAAGCGGAAGCATTAGCAGGAACGTTTTGAAAGAAATGTTTTTTTTCTTTGAATATAAAGCTGCATAAAATCCATGAAAAAGCTATGTTGTCCTGCGAAAATTTGAAATAATTAAGTTTAGTACTTACCAGTCATATTGTAAAAGAAGTGCTTCCTTATCACAAGACAAAGTTCATTTCATTCCACAATCTCATATATCTTTGGTCCGTGTTGTGGTACATTGCAAAATTCTCATCAAATCACAAACAATAATTCTCTTTGAAATGTTTCGTCGGCATAAAACATATAAAAATGATTCGCTGATGTTTAACATCAGAAAGGCGCCAGTGTTATTGGGCATCACGCAACATCAACGAAATTGTTATAGAAGAGCAGACGATAGCAATCCGTAAAAAATGAAGATGTCAATATTTCACTGACTGACCGCGAGCAGACGAGAAGGATAATGTACACATTCCTCTGGTTTGTTGATACAGGAAGGAAAGAGATGTAAATATTGATGAATGAGCAGACGACAGTCTATATACTACGTGTCAGCTTCTCTGACTAGAGGAGTTATCAGAAATGAGAATTTGACAGCTGACCACACTGTAAAGCAGACGACACGACAACATCAATACCAGCCACGTACCCGGCGAGAAGCTGAGAGGAGAACTAAACCAGCTAGACAAACAGATGTCTGCATCACTCTCAGCATCCTATATAAAGACTCATCATACACTTCAATACCCTCATCAAGCTAGCCAAGTCACGTGGTACTCGGTATCGTTGTTCACACCCGTAACGATCAGATTTCATTTAGTGAAACCCCCCTGGTGTATATCTCAAAACATTCACGTACTTTGCTTCTCGCCTGAAGCCAGCTGTATGGACATTGATTCGGTTATTCAGGTTATGTACCAGTGCAGCAGATGTCTTAAAGAGGAACCTGAATGCTTTGTCATATATGTGTCATTAAATCAAATAGCCTTTGCTCGTTCATTTACCGCAAAAATCGCCGAAAACGATCCACGCGTTCCAAAGTTATTGTCGAAAACGCTAAAAACACACCTGAACGAGATCATCGAACGGCACTGTAACATAGCTCTTCAGTAGTGACGTCACAAGTGGAAGCGCGCGTTCTGTCCCACTCCGGCAGCCATTAGTTTTTCAGCAGAAGCCAGGTTATATCGTTTCGTTTTTTTGGCCTACTTGAATGTTATTCGACTAATTTATACTATAATTGATGGTAAAGTAACAGTAGTGTCATCATCTGTGGACTGTTTTACTTAGGTTTCAAATATTTGTGAGCGTTCGTGGATTTTTCTGTCAATTATTGTGACCATGGGTGACCCGTCGCCGACTGCCGGACGTTCAGGAAAAAGATGTGTTGTTTTCGGTTGCAGCAACACCAGTAAAGATGGAGTTTCCCTTCATTTCTTTCCATTGAAGAATAATGATATTTGTAGAAAGTGGACTTCATTTGTAACAACGAAAAGGAAGAACTGGGCCGGAGCCACCAAACATTCTGTAATTTGTTCGAAACATTTCGACATGTCCTGTTACCCGGCGAAGTATAAGATCATGGAAAGTTTAGGCCAGTCAGTCCGAAGAAAGGACCTGCTTCCAGATGCTGTTCCATCTATACACGCTTCAGAACCAAGCCCGATGTCTAATATTACAGACACGCCACCACCGCCAAAGAGACAAAGAATGGCTTTTACTAAGAGAGAAAATGCTAGGGTATGTACAATTTAGTAATGACGTGCGTATTGGTATTTTCATAATTTTGTTAAACATTCAGACAACTAGAATTCTAGTCAATGTTTCATCGGTCTATATTACACATATGTATAATGGTGCCCCAACTTTCTATACTGGGAAGAGAATCAAATATACAGCATGTACATTTAAAGTGAAGGTATTATACCAGTATCAGCTAGTATATACCAGTCACACCTTTTTGTCTCAAATTTGAATTATGATATGAAATTTTAAAAGTCATTATTATTTTGATTTTGATCATTTGTTTTCCCCTCCAGATACTGTCACAGCATTTCCAAGCAACAGAACTGATGGAGATTGACCATGATGTTGACAACGGTTCGAATAATACCATGGTGTGCGGTATGGAGAGTGATAACTCAACACCACATGTAAGAATTTGAGGATAAACAATTCAAAGTGCAATTAGTTCATGGAGAGGAAACATCTGACAATTTATTTTAGCATATAGAATCTAAATGGTATTAATAGAGTTTGTAACTATGTCCTAGTTTTTAGCATCCATTCCGTAGAAGTTAGAACCAGATTCAGCTTTGTTGGATATATTTTGATATTGATACCAGATCAGAGTTCATAAAGAAGTATTTGAAAAGTGCTTTATTATAACAGTCTTATACCTAGATTAAAAATAAGCTTGTTTTCTTAAAAGTTAAAAAACTAGTATTTTTTCTTGATATTACGGAGTCTGATATAGGCAGATAACAGAGAGGCATGGGGCAGAAGGGATACTTATGTAACAGGGTTTTCATGTGTTTTATTGAAGTTTGTGTATTTTAACGTTTTTTTAGACACCATCAGGATCAACAACAGCTTTAACAAGAACCTATGGTTGCCAAGTAGGTTTGAAGAAGCCAGCAAGAAGGTCAAAGAAAATACAAACAAGTTTTAAAACTCATAACCAAGGTACAGTGATTAATCAAAATTATGCATCAGAAATTGATATTGGGTGTAGTTAAATTTATGCAGATGTATTAACAGTTCATCATATTGTAATGAAGACAGTTCTGTTTGATTTGCGAAAAGGAAGATAAATATACACTCAATCCTCGGAGTTAAAATTGCAATTATAATATCTTGTTCACAAAACAAATGATTTGTGTAGGGTGTTTGATGGAGTCCCCCCTACAATTTTTTGCAATTTTTTGCAATTTTTAATGAATTTGTTTTCCAGTACACTTTCGAGTTTCGTTAGTAATACACCCATCTTGAATCCTGATGTTAGTATTATGACCTTGTTTCCAGTGCTTTTGTAAACTGGTACAACCTTTTTCTTCAGAGTTTTTTTAATTCTGGTATCTGCATTATGGATGGCGGATTGTTAAATAGTTACACTTTACTACTACTCTCTGCTCCAAAGGAACAGGTGCAGCCCAATGTTACGTTGCTGTAAAGGTGTTGAATAGGAGAAAGTTATCATATTCTGAGCTCAGAAAAAAAGTGTTTTCATTCTCTTAGTGTGTTACACCACTTTTATCATTTTTCTTTATTGTAGTATGTCAGACGACATCCAATGAATGCAAGTCTGTGGCCATCCAGTGTGATATTATAAAACCAGAACAAACGTCAAACACCAACATGTGCGAGGACCACAATCTTACTTTTGATCATGATGGCACAGAGGAGGACAATGGAGATATGGATGACCATAGTCCCCAAGAAGACTTGCTTGACAGTTCATTTAATGCGTCATTTCAGAGTGAAGCAGATGAAGATGTTGACTCTGATAGCAACATAGATGATGAAAGGTGATTTTTTGTTATGATCAATTGTAAAGTTAAATGATTGTTATTAAAGGTCACTAGACCTCTGTGTTAAAAAGGTTTGTGGGTCATAATTAGTAACATTTTACCACATAATGGTACTTGTACATCTTCATCTATATCACTTTCTTTATCCCACCACCACTTTTTGGATCTCTTGTGTTATTACTAAGGCTAAATTATTACTCAGTGCAAGTGCCTTTCGTTGGCCTGGCAAATTATGACAAAATACACTGCCCAAACCAATAATTTAAAGTAAAATTTTTTTTTTTCAGGGATGATGGAAGAGACAGAAAATTTTTGGTTTACGAATCAGAACTCCTAAAATTATTTTCAGCATGCCCAAGATGCTCCAGCCCAACATTTGGACATATTCAACAGCTGCGCGGTACAGCAGTGAAAATTCTACAGGACTGTGGTTTTTGTTCCTATACCAATGTTTGGAAGAGCCAACCAATGATCGGGTCAATACCAGCTGGAAACTTACTGCTTTCATGTGCAATTCTGTTTTCTGGGTCGCTTCCAAGCAAATCACTGCGGATGTTCAACTTTATGAACATGGCCACAATATCTTGCGATACATTTTTGCAACATCAGAGGTATTTTCTTCAGCCAGCCATATTGCAAGTTTGGAATGAGCATCAGCAGTGCTATTTGGACAGTGTGATTCAAGAAAATAGGGAAATTGTATTGGGAGGAGATGGACGTGCAGATACCCCAGGCCACTCTGCAAAGTATGGCAGCTACACGATGATGGATTTAGATGAATCCAGAGTAGTCGACGTGCAATTGGTTCAGGTAATTGTTTTTAGTTCACCTGTCAGCTGAAAGCTCTTGTTCTATTGTGATCATGTTTTGTTTTCCCATATGGAAAAAATGGGTCAGAAATGACCCCTTGGGGGCCTGCAATGGGCAAACAGAGGCCATGTGAACTTGCAAATGTGAAGTAAATCTGTCCATACATGTCACTAGAAAATCTGTGATTTGTTTTGTACTATTATCATATGATTCCATCATGGGAGTGTAACGTAGACAGAAAAATCTCCACCTGATGGTTGAGATTTTTTGTTCACTTTTCAACCCTACAATTGATTTTTTTTCTCCCACACTCATGATGCTGAAAACCTTGTTTCAGTGTTGGTATAATAAATTTTTTTGTGAATGAAATTGTGATGTCATTTGGCAGCTTTTGTGACATCATAGCATGTTTAAACTGTCTTTTCCCTAGTGGCTGTAAGACAGCCTTGTCTTTTCACAGGTGAATCCTTTTGGAAGTGTTGGGAAAAAAATCAAATAAATCCCTTGCCTTTACATTCAATTCATTTATCAATTTCACACATTCTATTTTTAGAGTAACGAAGTCAAAAGTAGCTACCACATGGAAAAAGAAGGGTTGATCAGAAGTGTGAAGACCTTCAGTGATGCTGGAATTACTATACAGAAGATTGTTACAGATCGTCATGTACAAATTTTGAAATGGGTCAGGGAAAATATGCCTAAAACAAAACACTGTGTAGATATCTGGCATGTAGCAAAGGGTAAGTTTTCAACAAAAAATGCTTTTCATATGTATTTCATATAACACTCTTGGTTGTTTAAGTTTGATATGTAAGTCATTTTTAGATAGTTAAAATTGTTTATGAAGACCCAGGTTTAGAGGAAAACTGTCCTT